TCTTAGCAAATGATTTTAGGTAAACTAAGCAGACATGGGATAAAAGATAGGAAACAGAGGATAGAAGTAAATAGTTCATTTTTAGAGTGGAAGAAAACTACCTCAGAAATGTGCATGACCTGTACTGATGAACTTACTGAATTGATCTAAAAAAGGTGGCATGCGGAGGGGTAAAAAAACTAGTAATCAGTCATTGCTGACGCAAAAGTAAATGCAGGAGCTTAAAAAAGCTGAGTGAGTATAACAGCAACATGTGAAATTCAACATAGATCAGTAAAAAGCACTGCTCATTGAGGAAAGAAAACACAACAGCAAATGTAAAGTGGTGGACTCTGACCCTTATTGCTCAGACGTGAGATCCTGCAGTTATGACAGGTGGTTCTGTGGAAATGTCAGTTCCATGCACAGTGACAACCAGAAAAGGAAACCAAAGTTTAGGAAGTGCTGGGGAACAAAGAAGAAAATGGAGAATATCATCACACCTCTGCATAAGCCCATAAAGGAACTGCTTCCTGAATGCACTGTACACTCTGTGACTCCCATCTCAAAACGAAACAAAACAAAATTTGGAGAAGATCCGTGAGGGTAAGGTCAAAGGTAGGAACCAATCCCCCTGTGAGGAATGATTAAATAAACGAGGTTTCCTCAGCCTGAAGAAGAGATTATGGAGTAGGGGCTCAACAAGCGCAGAGGGATGCATTGCTCACTGCTTCTTCTAAAACTGCAAAGAGCAAACAGACAGCAGATGCAAAGTGAACTACAGGAGGAGCATTTTACTATAATGCTAATTAAGCTCTGGTATTCCCTGCCCATTGTTGGGAATGCCAAAATTTTATACAGGCTCTAGGGAAGACTGAAAAAATTTACGGGTAGAAAATTAATAGAGAATTGTTAAATTCTCATGTACAAAAAACCCAAACAAATAATAAAAGAAACCCCAAACCCACTCCTAAGAGGCTTCTGAGATTTATATTCCCAGAGGCTGGGCAAATATTCAGGAAAGGATCCCTACATGCTTGTTCTATCCCAACTCCCCTCCCTAGGCATTTATTTTTGGCTACAGTTGGAAGCAGGATACTAGTGGGAGGTGGGGGTGGTAGACCTCTGATCTGACCCCATACAACTATTCTAAAGGTTTTATGATCTCATTTCTTATTATAAAAATTAAAAAAAAAGAGTACTAATATTTCTGTGACAATAAAGTGACTAAAAATTCAAAGATAGATAATTTAGAAGCTCAAATTAAAAATTCTGGTAAGACGTTAAATCCAGGGTCAAATTCATAAGCTAAATGAAGTTGTTTCCCAACTCATGCATTTTATGATGCATAATGTGAAATATAGCAGAGTCAGCCCAGGATTTTACAATTAGTACTATCTGTTCTGAGAAGGAAGAAATTAAACCTGCATACAGTAGACTTCCTGCTGGGGAAGTGAGAGGGAAAGGGAACTCAGTATCTCAAAGGATGCACTGGTAACAACCCCAAACCAAACCAAACCAAGAGATGTGAGCCATCAAAGCTGCAATGCTATTGGAGAAATTCCAGGAAGCCAAACTTAAAATAGGAACAGAGGAGAAGTGGCAGGGGGGAGACAGAAATAAGGAGAAAGAACAAGAGAAGAAAGAAATAGTTTAAAACAAGAAAAAGAACTTGTAGCAAGTTGCCTGGAACTGAAAAGCCCTGGAGGGTAATCACATCACCAACCTTTCAGGCCAGCATATATTTCTGTAGGTCTCAACAGAGTCAATCCACTGCACCCCCATGATCTCAAAACCAACACTCCCTTCCGACAGTGCTGATGCTGTGCATGAACGCGCCGCTGTGTGGTGAGCTAAATTCAGAAGTGACTCATCTATAAACTAACACTTTATGGCAAACAGGCTTATGGTTCATACTAGCCTTAGGATCTCTCTGGGGAGTGGCATTTGAGGATCAGGTCTTGCTCTATATCTTACACCCTCATCCAGACACTTGGGATATAGGTTAAATATGTGGAAGCCTGAAGAAGGGGAAAGAAAGGCAAAAGAAGGAACCTTACTTTGAAATACAAACTGTAATTTTGGTGTACATTTTCATTTTGGTTTGGATAATTATTTTCAGCCTTGTAATTGTAATTGTTGCCTGCCTGCAATGAAGATGTACTTCACTTGACCTACAGATTTCTCCAGTGCTAGCAGACTTGGGTGATGTTGAGAAATATAAGACACATTTCTTTGGGGATAAAAAGTTTACATACAATGTGCACTCAGGTACTGCTAGTAAACCTGTACCTTACAGTCTAATAGAGAGATGAAGAGTTTCCTCTGCTAAATTACAAAAGCCAGTGTGTAGTAGCACTGCAAGGTGTGAGGCTCCCCACAGTGACTGCACAGCTGTGTTTGTCTGCAAAGCTCACAGTACAGAGCAGTATCTTGCAGCTCTGGACAGGCCTGAGTCACCTCATTATTTATAGGCTTCTTATTATCAAATGCAAACCAAAATAATACTTGTTCATGCTTTATGTAATCATCATGGCTAGGCTTCATGAATGAAGATTTGGGAAGGGCTCTACCCACATTTGTTACAGGCACCCTGGTGGCTAAAAAGGCCAATACAAGATAGACATGTCCGGTTGCAAAAGGCACAGCAGAAGGACTCCTTAGGTGGTATACTCTGCAAGACTTGTTCATGCTTCATGTAATGTACTTTGGGTTTAAATTATGAATCTGTCTTGTTTCCCCCCCCCCAAAAAAAAAATTCCATTCTTTGAGAGAATAACATGCCGTAAAAGCCCCCCACAGCTGCTGTTGAAAACATGGGATTATTTAGCACTTCTAGGGGCTTTAGCTTTAGGGGCTGCTGTCTTTGTTTAGGGCTGATCAAGTAGTGACTAATTTCTGTGATTACTTTGCTTCTCTTTAACCTTAATGTCACTAAGGAAGGGTGGGTCAACATTTTTGGTGCCCTGTGGCAAACATCAGTTTTGAGGCTTTTTGAATAGGTCAGATGGATAGATAAACAACAGCATAAACTGCTTGTCTCTGCCCAAGTTTGGCTGCTGAGCACCGCCTGAAGCACTAGCTACTCTTCCCAGGTGCTCACAGCTTCTCGCTTTTTCCTGCAGAAACAGCAGCTGAAACAGGTGCTGGTGGGAGGCACTCAGAGCAAGAGGCAGCATTGTAGACCTTTTTCCTCATTCCTCTACAGCAGAAAATGCAGTGGGCTGGTTGCACCTTGCAGTCAAGAGGAGAATCTCAAATAGGTAAAACAGGTTGTGGAAGAAGAAAAGCAGAGAGAAAATGAGTGTCCTCCCCTGCCATGGGCTGCAGAATAATACCTGTTTAAAATTTGTCAGCTGTTTAGTTTTTCTGGTAGTATTATTCTCAATAATTTTAGGAATAAAATTGCCAGATATTTTAGCACTTTAGACTCACAACTTGCTTTTCCCTTATGTGTTCCCAAAAGTTAAACCCTCCTATTAAGAGCCCACCTTGTGGAACATGGGTTTTTTTGTCATACTGTTAATAACTTCTCAAAACACCGAGCAATTTTTTGAGCTTTTCGTCATCCTTCCTTGTTTTTCCTCAACTAAGTTGACTGATACCTCTCAATAATCAGGCATCCAAAAGAAATATTTATAAACAATTAGTGAGAACTCCCATAAATTAGATTTTGGGATGTGGTTTCCCATCAGTTTAATCATCTAGGCTGTAGTGCTCCTGCTATCCCTACTGTAGCCCAGGTACCTGCTCCCATTTCTTTCACTAGCACTTCCACAGCAGTACAAGAGATAGATTCATCTGGAGAATAAGTCCCTTTCTGGCTGAGGTGCAACCGTACAACTTCCAGCAGCTAAAGTCGAGGTGGCATAGAGGGAATCATAACATGGTTTGGGTCGGAAGGGATCTTAAAGATCATGCAGCTCCAATCTCCCTGACATGGGTAGGGAAACCTTCCACTAGCCCAGGTTGTTCAAAGCCTCATCCAGCCTGACCTTGAACACTGCCCGGGATGGGGCATCCACAACTTTTCTGAGCAACCTGTTCCAGCGCCTCACCACCCTCACACTGTCCCTGGGGGTGTTAAGAAAAGACTGGACGTGGCACTCAGTTGACAAGGTGGTGTTAGGTCATAGGTTGGACTTGATCTCAGAGGTCTTTTCCAACTTTAATGACGCTGTGATTCTGTGAAAAACATATATTTTTAAGTCTGAGAGGCGGATCTGCATCAGGTTGGTTCCTGCCCTCACTTTAAAAACCTCACATAGAACCGCTCTCCGTTTTATGCGGAAAACCTGCAACGCAAAACGTACGAACACCACCGGGATCGATAGCCAGGCTCAAGTGCCCCTTTCTCCTCGGGGAACACGCCATGCCCCGAGAGCCGAGAGCGCAGGGAACGCAAAGAAGCCACTGCCGCGCCGCCGACACCCTCCGGGCGCTGAGGAATCAAGCCCCCCCCCCCCCCCCCCCCCCCCCCCGGCGCCCGGGACCCCCCCCCCCCCCCCCCCCCCCATGAGCAAAGCCCGACCCCGAGTCTCCTCCCCTCGGCTCGTAAGCGTGGGGCGTGGCTAGCCTCGTTCCCACCCCGCGACGTATATATAAGGCTGGCGAGGGGTGTGGCACCTCCTTTTTCTCTGCGGAGCGCTCTGTGTGGGCTTATGCGGTAAGGCGCTCAGGACTGCGGGGTGTGCCGCAGCCCCGGCGCGGTTGGGGGTGTGCCGCGGCTTTTTCCCTGCGCTTGGCCGTTCGGGAGGGTCGCCCGCGGCGCCGCTCGCGTAGTACTCGAGGATGGAGCTGGCGGGTGAGGCTCGGAGCCGTGCGTAGGGCTGGCCGTAATCCTGCCGCAGGGCCGTGGCCGCCCGTGCACGGCGCCCCGCGGGCAGCCCCAGGGGTGCGAGGGGACGCAGGGGCAGACTACGTGTCCCAGGGCGCCCCGCGGGTGGCTACCCACCGGAAGCGCTGTCCCGCGGCGCAGTGTGCGCTGGGAGCGGTAGTTGTTCCGGGGGCCCGCATGGCGCTGCCGGGCCCGCGCCATTTTGCTCTTCTGGTGCGGCAGAGACCGGTGCGGGGATGCAGAGCCTGGCGGTGCTCTCAGCCACCGGGCGGGGCAACCCTCCCCTATTGGGAACCTTCTAAAATGTTGGCTAGTGCAGAGGAATGAAATAAAACATGCCAGTGAGAACGAGGTAGGTGTTCGTTGCAGTAAAAGGTTCGGTCTCGTCTAACGAGGCGGAGCCGCCTTGTTCCTGTGGCACAGGGTTCGTCCACGCGTTTGTGTTGTCTGTATGTTTTGGAGGGCTCAGCCATCGGCGTCGTGGGATTGTCCTACTGCAGAAGGCTTGTAAAAATACTGTGAAATTCACGTATCATACCAAGGGAAAAAACCCAAACATAACCTTTACTTGATTTTTAATGTAAATCATAGAATTAACGTTTAAACTAACGATGTTTCCTTTGTTTTTTAGACAGTGACACAGCAGAATAAGTGGACATGTATTAGAAAACAGAGGAAAAAAAAAAACCCACCTCCCCAAAAAGCTTCCTGTGGGCTTAAGAAGCCTATTTTCCCCCCTCTTGCAGTGCTGATCTCACTGAGCTGTGGTACTTCTGGAAGCACGGGAAATACAATAAAAAAACCCAGCTATGATTCTAGGCTCTTATCTGCAAGTAAAGATGAGGAGGATATGGCTGGATTCATGTAGGAAGTTGTCGGGTGCATTCATTCAGTGTTAAATTAGCTTGTCTAATGATAGCCTGAGTCACACGTGAGATTGCTAAACAGTAAAATTTTTGATTCTTTACAAACCAGTAGTAATCCTCACACTGAATAACTGAGGTTTAAAGTAAAAATGTTTATTACACCCACTACGTGGAAGCTTAACTCGAGGTTTTCCATAGCTTAAATTATTTTTGTTAACTGAATCAAAGTGTGTGATGAGTTATCTTTCCATGATTGCTGCATTTATTTGATCTGTGTAGTGCAGAGTGAGGAACATTTTTATGGGAACATGCTTATTTTGAGTACTGTATATGGTAAAACATACTTCATCATGCATTTCTTCTGCTGGTTGAATCAGTGGATTTTGATACTTGCTACCTGCTTGAAACAATTTTTTAAACCAGTGGAAATCAGTTCTTCTACTTAGAGGACTGAAATCTTGGAATGATGAATTTTCATTGAAAATGCTTTACAATGAAGTTTAACAGCAGGTACATGCACTTATTTGTACAATGCTTTTAATATGAGATTGAAAGGTGATATAACTCACAACTCCTTTGTTACTTAAAACTGCATTTCTTGCTGCTTTTCTTCAGCGAACTTGTTGGGTAGAGATTGTTGACAGTTGTCTCATAATGTGTGACTTATTGACCTGGTAATATGAACGTACTGATTTCAAGTTTTAAGTTTGTTCACTCTTTGCTTTTAGGTATGATGGAGAGGAGGTTTTCTGTTGTGTCCAGTACATTGTGCATTAAGGTAACAGTTCTGGAATTTTTATTATTGTTGCTCTAGAAGTAATACTACATTTCTGTTATTGACCAAGTTAATGAATACTTCCGTTTCTTAATTGGTTTCCATATTTTTGTCTGTTAAAAGTGTGGGGAGTTTTAAGTGCCGTGGGGTTGTCTTCTTTGTATGGCTACTAAGTGGGGCAAAAAGAAAAACCAGCACATTGCATTTTCATAGCTGCCATCAAACCGATGAGTAATTATTTGATAATTTTAAGGTTTGGTGCTCTTCGCTGAGTTAGTCAGCCCATAGGTCAGTTCTTAGTTGCATTTCTTTTGATGTGGCATTTATATTAACATGAAGAACCAGGTCACAAATCACTTGGTTAACTTGTGCTAAATTATACTGATTGTTGAGGTGGTGTGAGTTAGCTGTCTGCCTTGGATGTGTATTTGAGTTAATATACATACTTGACCATATTTAAATGTAATTACTGAGGTAATGATCCTGCAAACTAACGGACAAGCAGTACTGTATTGTGAATAAATGCATGGCCACTCAGATATTTTTGAATAAAAAGCTTGAATGTCTTCGGTCTTCAGCCATTGTCATGGTTGCAAAAGAGTTCCAAACCAATTCAGGGTAACTCTTTTCTAGTGCATAGGAAATTTCAGCTTGTTGGGTGTTAAAAACTGTTCCAGAAGAATACTGAATTTATGAAAAAGTCAATTTTTAGTGCTTGATGATAGTTTCTGACATAGTAACATGACAGATGATGCTAGACCATAGCAAGAGATGTTTTCTAATTTAAAAGATAATTTTTGCTTATTTTTAATTTTAGCACTTCATGGAAGCACTATCACATGTAGAAGAATACTTGTTACACACAAGTGGATTTTCCTGAAAGCTATGTATGTTTTGAATGATTAGTAAAGATAAATTAATGATAAGTGGATTAGTGTAATATGTGCATGATCAAATTAGTAGCTGCCAAATTATTAGCTTTAAAATAATCATTAAGCCATTAGCTTTAAAATAATCATAAAAGATATCATTATATTTTAGGCATGTTTGACATGGTTTAAAACTGTGTAGGCTGGAGGAATTACAAAGTTTTTGTGTCAGAGGAGCTGGTAAAATGCCTATCTGAAGCGTTCATGCTAAATCTGAAATATTACCTCAATATGGCTTTTAATTGTGAATTTGCACTTTATTGGGCGATTGATGTAAGAAAGTGTTCAGACAAAGAAAATAAATGGAGCATCTAGAGACGTGTTAATGTAAATATGCGAATGTTGCAATTTTTTAATAATAAATGCGTTTTTTTTTATTTAAAAGTATAGTTGATAATCTCACCTTTTTGAAAGAAAAGATCTGTATTTGATTTAGTTTGACTCAAATGCTTACAACCAGTTGTTACAAAAGTAAAATTCAGTTGTTCTTGCTTGTGTTGTAGTATGTATGAACATGTTGTAATTTATTATTTTACTCAAATTTCTAGAGTGCATGAACAGTTTCTAGTAATTGGAATGTGAGGCATCCTGAAGATTTCCTGGCAACAGGAATTACAACAGATAGAGGTAATATTTATTGATGCAGCAGTGGAAATTTTTGGTTTAAAGTAATGCATTCTGTTTTCGGTACATTGCAAATGAAAGACATAAAGCTTATTTTGTGGAATACATGAATGTATGAGTGGTGTTATAGTTCCCAGTCACTGGTATTTAAGTGGTGTATAGTGATAAAACTGCCAGACTTGATACATTGCTGAGAAAGTTTGTATGGATCTGGCTCCTGAGATGAAAGCACTTAATCTTTCAGTCACTATCCCAGTTGGTGTTACTTTTACTGCTACCCCTGTGTGCAAGTCAGGTGCCAGCACGCGCCAGGTTGTGAATAAGAATGTTGGTGCATTATTTAAACCCATCTCAGGTCCGTGTTGACATGAATATGTACTGTTTCAAACGCTTGCATCTTTAAAGAGCACGGGGAGAGGGAAGTGTTAGACCCCTGTAATTGGAGGTACCCTGCCTTATAGCAGGTAAATAAGCTGTAGCCAGGTATGGTAAGTAAGTGTTGCTGGTATTTGAAAGCTAGTGATGATGTTTGCACTTTGACCCTCTTAGGACTGTTTATTTAGGGCTCGCTCAGATGTGAGCAGTTAAGAAAAGCAACTCACTTTATTGCTCTGGTGTTTGAGTATATTCACAGGTTGGTTTTAGTTAGAAAGTTAGTGTAAGAACTTCTAACTTTCCCGTCTTACTACACATATGCAACTTTATTCCACTTGTTATTCAAGACAGGTACCTTTAAATACCTTGCTAACTACCGGCACTTTCTCTTGAAGAACAGGTTTTGTATGAGTGAAACTTCTTGTGCAGCACTGCTGCCTATAAAATGCTGTATTGTTTAGACAGGCACTATTGCAAGTAGGAAGTGGTATGACTTACATGGCTGATGTAGAGAAAAGTTGGAAGTAGCAAACCTTGCTAGTGTCACTAACCAGTGCATTTTATGTCTTTGCTGAGATGCTTGCATGCTGCTTCTCAGTTGAAGGTATGAATGCCAATAAATGTCAAAGCTTCCTAACCAAGTAAAGTTTAAAACCACTGGTATGTCTGATCAGTGAAGAACCTATCCCATGTGAACCACATGTGAATCTGGCTTCTGAGTTTAGACTTAACACCAGAACGGGTGAAGCATTGGAAGGTGATCCATTTCATAGTCTGTATGTACCTTGAAACTCAGCAAAACTGGTTTCAGTAATGGTAATCTCTTAAAATACTGTTTTATAAAACTGCATTATTGTCAGCCCCATTTAAAAGAAGGAGGTGACATGTAAATTGTTGTATTAGAAGTAGCATATTTGAAGTCGAGTCTTCTAATTAGTTTCTCAGGACTTAGTGTATTGATACTAATCCAACACACTGAATAATGCAGTTTGGTCTGTGTAAGAGCCTAAATAGGTGGCAAGTTGTAATTCTGGGTGATGGAAGAAAACTTTCCTGAACTAATAAACTTTTTTTTTTGACAGGAAAATGGACCAAAATGTAGGAACTTACTTTTAGAAGCTTTTAGCTTATTCAGGTATGTAACTGAAAAACTTCTAAATATTTTCTCATTTTAAGCCTAAAATAACTGTGCTTACAGATAAATTTTTTTTGTATTATGACAGTTATTAATATACTTAATTGATTAATGATATGTTAAGTCATAGTTGGCATTTAAAAACACTTGTTCCCCAAAGCACAATGTGTGCTGATAGCTGTGCCTAAGCTGTTAGCTTTCAAACGTATGTACTTTATTACTGAAATACAACAGAGAATTTGAGATTAATTTTTGTATTGCAATCTATAAACTACAGAAAACAGTGATGTTTCCTACTATATTTGTTTTCTGTATTGCCTTTGTCTCATCTGTGATGATCCTATCCCGAACCTGAATTCCCTGTTGAAAAACTTAATACGGATCCGGAATCTGAGATGAGACCAAAATATTTGATTTAAACTTCCAGAAAAGTATTGTACTGTCTTTGGTTTTAGTTTTGGGGTTTTTTTAACAGAAATAGTAACAATTTATACAAAGTGCTGTGTGCTTATGTGCAAATTGAAATTTCACTCTTGCTCTCTGTTTGCAGTGATGAGCTGGACACTTTGTCAGAGCTGTCTGACAAATGTGGATGATCAGTAACCAGGAAGAAGTTACACCTGAAAAGTTTTTGTGGCTCAGAGTGGGATGCTGTGCTTTTACAACCTGCTGAAACAGCTGCTGCAACTTCGTTTAGTAGATGCTGTTTTCAGAAACTGCATATAGACCAAAATCACTGTCTGCATATCTAAAATAGTGCCTTACTAAAATATTGAGCTGCCCTCTCTAGGAAGGGTGGTAGCAGCAAAAGTAGCAAAATGGATGTTGAGCATTAATGGGAGAAAGTATAGAAGGTAATGGTGTTATGGAAGCATAAACCTGAAACACTTGTAAGAAAGAAAAATATAATGTCTGCAGATCGCATCACAGTTTGTATCAGTTGAGGAACCAAGGAGTTGGGTTTTTATTGACTGCCACTTAAGCATGGAAAGACTAGTACTGCAACAGTGGAACTGCTCCTTGGGGAACACACTGGCAATATTAGCTGCTTGCAGTGTGGGGAAAAGAGGTCAGTGGTGGGAAAAGAGACCATGTACAGTAGAACCTTGTACTTTAGACAGTCAGTTGAAAAGTACCAGTGCTGTATCACAGTAGCAGCATATTTGCTGTATTTGTCAAATTGTCACTCTTCCGCAGAGGAATGAAGGCTCATAAATTGGTCACCAAGTAAATTGGATTTTCAAGACAACTATGTATGACTCCATCTGCCTTAAAATGTCAAGCCCAATTGTCAGAAACACTTTATGAAGGAAGAAACACAAGAATGGCATAATAACTAACAATTAAAAGAGCTACAGTTACTGAATCATTTTGAAATCCACCAAAATACATAAAAACAACCGTAAAGTCTGCAGCCAAAAATAACAGCATTGGGTGCTAGCAGCTCTCTAGAGAAATGGAGAAATTCCTGTAACTGGAGTGTGCCTGTGATAAGTGACAAATACCATGTAAAACCCAATTTTCTACCTGAGCAGTATGAAGTGCAAAACACTACCAGGAACAGCACATGAACTACTGAAATTTAAAATAAGTGTCCAATAGATTACTAAAATGTATGCTAAGGAACTGACAAAATTCCAGGTGTGTATTGCCTCACTGAGCATCTCCTATGGTTTGTTATTGTTAATAAGCAGTGGCCAGCTGCTTTTCAGCAAGCAGCTGTAAATCAGTCTCTTGAATGTTGGAATCTTCAGAAATTTACTACAGAACAGCTTTCCCTTCATCTCTTTCAACAGGCTTTATTTCTGTGTTTCTCAGAATGGTAGGTATTTCCATGTGCCATGTTTTGTACATGCTTTCTCTTTAATAAAGATGAGGATGTGAAAAACTTGCCTGTTGCCCATCAGGTGTGTATCACACCACGGTGTTCCCTGACTGCTTGTTAATTGCAAGAGCTACGAAGGCAATGTGGCCTTGTGCTGCCTTTTGCAGCACGTGCTGGACACATGATGTTCCACATAGTGTTTAAATGATGCCAGGACAACAAACTTGGTGATCCCATCCTTCAGAATTGGGAACGGACTGGTCTCCATCTGCCCACTGCAGTTCTGTGAAAAGTCTGGGTGCTGTTGGCAGCATCTAGTGAAGCTGCTTGGATGGTAAGTCTGGAAGTTGCTAGTCTGAGCTAGGTCTGTCTCTGTCTCTTATGGAGCTTGAAAAGATGCAAAGGACAGGGATGCTTAATACAACAGCAATATTTGGTAAGTACTTTGTTAGATACTCAAAAGGATTTGCATGACTTTGTTGTGGAGTCAGAAGAGTGTGGTATGTGCTTTGGACTGTAAAGGTACCATCTTTTTATCCTTTGGGCTGATAATACAAAATGTGAAAGCTCTTAAGGAGATAATGCCATGTGTATATATCCAGTAAAATTAGTGAGGGTTTGTCTTGTGATGTGGGGATCAAATGAAGTTTCAGGATTTTGGGTGGTACTTCAGGTACCCAAAGCACATTCATTGGAGATGGTCTTGGATGTAGGATTGGCAGCATTAGAAAAAGGGGGTTACTGTGCATTTCTGTGGTGAAGCCCTGTAAAGAAGCATTGTTTTAATAATGAAAAGGATTTGCCTCACTTATCAGAAAAATGTAGATGTGGCCAGTGATGAGGCGTATTGGATATTGAGCTGCAAAACTCTGGATGAATGTTCCTGTATGGCCACAGAAAATGGGTTGTGGATGAAAAATGTGTATTAGTCTAGAAAGTCTGGTATTTGCAAACATGAACAAATGTTTTAACCATGATACTCCAGAGGTTTTGGAATGTGAGACTAGTGAAAGTGATGCAAGAAGGTCATTTTTGTAACCAGTTTTAAAATGGCAAGTAGCTTTTTTGCTTTGTAGGAGGGAGATACGTTTGTAAACCACTTGTGGATTTAGTTCTGGTATGGTTTTTGGAGTGATGTTTTATACAAGTGATTGAGATGGGGAGTAATTGTGAAGGGTTACTCTGATACATTTGGAACACGTGGCATGAGATTTCTCTGTGCAAAAGCACTTCATTAAACTTCAGTTTTACAAAACAGATTGTTAGATTTAAAGCTTTAACTGGAGATTTGTGCAGTGAAGAGCATGAAAGCAGTTTGCTTTTTTGTGTTTTAGTCTGGTGAAATCTTGCACTAACCGTCATTAGTGTTGAGCTTAGAAGTGTCACATGGCTGTTGGGCTGTGGTCCAAGAAATCAGTGGTTAGACAAACTTTGTTCTGGAATGTTGCCATGTATCCCTCTTAGTAACAGGGTAAAAAAGCAGTCTTTTTTAATTGAGTGGTGGGCTTACAAGCAATAGGAGTACCTTGCAACTGCAAGGAAGATAGAAGAATAGACTCTGCATAAATGCTTTGCTACGGTTTAATAAGGTCTTTGTTAAGGTGGGGAGTTTGTCTTGTTGAGGAACTTGTCTTGCTGGTGAAAGAGTTACAAGTGAGTCAAACTAACCTAGCAGTGGTTATCTTGCCACAGCACCCACACTGCTCTGTGAGTGCCAGTGCTGGTGTGATGCCTGCTTGAAGTACCAGATCCGAGTGAACTGGAATTTCAGTGTAAGCTGTGCTGTCAGGCTGCCATTCTGCAGAGGAGTGTGTGGCCGTGGCTGCAGCCATATTGTGTGCTGGTGTTGGAGTTGCCATCTGGAGCAGACAAGGTCTTAATTGTATAAGTTTGCCATATAAAGTTTGAGTATGTGTTTTGCCAGTTAAAAATCAGCACTGAAATATCAATTGGTAGAGAAAGATGCTCCTTAAGATATTTAAACATGGACACAGTAGAGTGAGCAGGTGTTGGTTTGACTTTGCCCAAGGAAAGGTATTTCAGTTGAAGGGTGTTTAGCCCTGACTTTAGTAGTTTTTCTGCATGCCCCCTCCCACAGTTTAGAGGACAAAGTTTGAGTTATAATCCAAAGTATGAATGAATTTACAGATAAATGATGATTTCAGGTGAGTGGAGCACAGATGGAGGCCTTTGTATGCTATGTAAATGCATGTGTCTGATGATTTGCATTCCCTGCTTTTTGGTGTTACAACTGGTGTTGGAAGCATTTTTGCTTGTCTGCCATTGTCTGTTTCCCTTTGAGGATATAAATGGGGGAGGTAAAATTACAATGATGAATTCCATTTTCTTTTGAACATCATGTGGCTTTTTAGTTGATAGTCCAGTTGAGCTATCAGGGCTATGAAGACAGTACTTCTCTGCCATTGTCTCAAACTTCCTGCAAGCTCCGGAGGACAAAGTGGTGTTTGATGCTCAGAAGAATGGCTGTATTGAGCAGGACAAAGTCTGCCTCGTTCAGTATTCTGTCTGAGGATGACCGCATAAGGAACAGGAGAAGGATAGAGAGCCTTTCCAGCAGTTTTCTTGGGAATTTCCTGAGGAGATTTTGATTTGTATTTGAATACTACTTGGCAATTATGACCTATGTCCATTTAAAAAAGCTTTGAAAAATGAATGATACGTGGGCTGTAAAATAGATGAAGTAGTGGGTATGTTAGTAATTGTAGGGAGGATGAGATTAGGACAGGGCTGAAGTAAAAGCTTTTTTTTTTTTTCCTCTTTGAAGCTGATGTCCCTTTCAATTCTCACATTAACAGAAAAGGTGGTAAGTGGAGTTCAGCGAAGGCCCCAGTGCTAAGCCAGCTTTGCTGTTTAACTGAAGTATGTTGGAGGTGAAAATCTGAAGTACTGATGTGTGCTCATATCTTCGGTAACCCTGAGCTACGCTTCATACCTCAGGCTTCTCACCAGAGCAGTAATAGCTGCTTTTTTTCCCCCTGAGATTGGAGTTCTCCACAGCTGAAGGAGCACTCTTCCAGCAACAGTGGTACTAGTTTTATAGTTCCAGGTGAAGAATGATTAAAATCTGTCCTAAAATGAAGTTCAGTCATTTTTTTATTTATATGGAAAGGTGGAAAGAGATGAATGGACTGAAATAAATCAAATGCTTAGTCCTTACTTTGAAATTGGTAAGTTGATTGAAAAGGTATTTTTAAACTGTCTTAAGATCATTAAAGCTGTGTACTTCATCTTACCCTGACAAAATAGGAAATAATTTGCCCTAGTCTTAGCTTGTTTTTTTTTTTCTATCAGTGAGGAATGTTGCAGATACCAGAGTCCAGAAAAAAAAAACATTAGAGACTTAAACTCTTTTGTATCTGTTGTGATTTAACCCCAGTTGGTAACTAAGTACCACACGACTGCTTGCTCACCTCTGCCCTGGTAGGATGGAGAGGAGAACAGGAAAAAAGGTAAAAGCCATGGGTTGAAATAAGAGAATTGAAATGAGATACGGTAATTGTAACATTAAGGAGACAACAAAGAGAAACCCCAAGACAGACAAATGATGCATAATACAATTGCTCATCACCTGCTGACTGATGCCTAGATTGAGAAATGATCCATGGCCAGCTTCCCCCAGTTTATATACTGGGCATGATGTGCTATGGTATGGAATATCCCTTCGGCCAGATCGGATCAGCAGCTGTCCTAACCATGCTTCCATCTTCTTGTGCCCCTCCTCACTGGCAGAGCCTGAGATACTAAAAAGTCCCTGACTTTTGGATATTGTTAAGTGGTGCTTACCCCAACATCAGTGTTATCAACACTGCTCTCATACTGAATCTAAACTACATCACTGAATCAGCTGTTAAGAAGAAAACTATCCCAGCCAAAAACAGGACATGAGAGCTACTAGAAGTGTTTTTGGTTAATTTGTATGTGGTGTCAGTAAACAAGTTCACAGGTTTATCAGCCAGTTATTTAACTAGTCATAAACTGAGAAAAGATTTTTTTTTTAAAAAATTGACCCTGATAGATTCAAGTTTTCAAAATGAAACTTTCCTGTAACTCTTCTTACTTGCTGCTACCTTTTAGATCCAAACTTTGAAAAAAAAAAAACCTGTATGTTCTTTCAGGATCAAAGAGACACTTAACTTTATTTTCTGAAAGCAGATTGATAGCCTAATGCTCCTCAACTGTTCTCTACAGATCAGAGAACAGCAATTTAGTATTTTCTAGTGCCCAGTTGCTAGGTACAATTAAAACTTTGCTTCCCTAAAGAACTAAACTATTGCTTCTAGCAGCACAATACAACTGCATTAGTTGTACCATATTAAATTACAGATTTGTTCAGATTTGAGCACAGGTTCTGTTGCCTGCATTGCCCCGTGCAAAGCAATGAAGGGATACGTGGTTACTGCTGCACAAGCTGGAAAGGATAAACTTATATACATGTGCTGAAGCTCTATGTTAGGTTAAGATCAGTGTCTCTGAAGGCCCATGTGGAAGTACAGATTAGACCTTCCAAAAGAAGCTTATTGAAAAGTAGCAAGCACAGCCTGAGGTAGTGATATAGTAAGAGTTCCTCATCCTTGTACTCTGGTCTGAAGTTTGTACTGTAAATGAGAATTCCCTTAGGGCAGCATTCTTCAGGTATCTTTAAAAAATTTTAGAAAATAGTTGTATACAAAAGGTGGTATTGTCTGCTCTTGGGATCTGCAGAAATGCTGCATTTTTGTAGTCACTTCTGCCTTGTACCTGGCAAAGACTGTAAATGTGTGTGTGTGAAGGGGGGGGTAAGATTGCTCTATTCTTATAAGGACCTTGAAAGACACAAGGTTATTTGGGCTCATCCATGCTTGAAAGGATTTTTAGGTTTGGTTACATGTTAAGTAGCCTGGAACACTTGACCTGAAAGCTGTGTATTGCAATTGCTGTATCAGGCACTTTCCTGAGTAATCAACCATGTCATTAGTAGTGAACTAAATAGGCCTGGGACATCAGCCCAATCCCTGGCAATTGATCATCCATGCCATTAAGGGTTAATAGTCTGACAGCTAAAGCCT